TAGAAAACAAAGCATGAAAATGAAAATATTGTTGAAATATAAATTGAAATATACATTAACTGTCAGAACACATGTTTGGCCGCAAACGTCAGCCCAAAACACAAACACATTATATCATACATAGGATGCCATCATTTTTCATAGATATTTATATTCCTATTCCTTCTACTCATTGATAATTGAATATAAATTCTCGTTATTATAGATATCTATCTCTCGTATATATACGGTATGTGTATATTATATTATATCTGTTCCACTCTTCAGACACTATTTTTATTCATTTTGTACGTAAGTCTCGAGTGATTTATTAATGAAATACTCGACTAGTAATACAATTTCCTCCCGAAAATAAAAGGACATCACTTAATGGCTCATTAAACTGAGCACTTGAAATGATTTTTTTGTGCTCTCTCTCTCTCTCTCCCTCTTCTCAATGCAGTCTTACTTTCTCTCTTTCTTTCCCGTCTCTATTATCTGTCAGTATTTTTATACAACAAAAACAATTTCGCTCTCTCTCTCTCTCTCTCTCTCTCTCTCTCTCTCTCTCTTAGTTCAAAATATATTTATAAAGTATTTAAACATTAAACACAAAGCAATGACCAAATTGAGTATTATTACAATAAAATAAAATTATTTGTATAAATCTCTCTCTCTCTCTCTCTCTCTCTCTCAATAGAAAATTCAAAATTTTTAAGTCAATCTCTTTCTGTCTTCGTCTGTCTTCCCATTGACTGCCTCTTAGGCTTCACTATCTATTTATTACATGAATATCGCATAGATTTTTGCTGTAAATATATTCAATGTTATGCGCCTTTGACTTCACTTTTGCACACAGAAAAGGGCACCAAAAAAATTATTTATATTTTTCGTTTCATTCCCTTTTTATATTCAAATGCCTTCACATTCATCGCTGTATATATTTTTGTGATATATTTTGATATAATATACGATATAATCAGACAAACGAAGACTTTCTCAGAGACACTGAGAATGATGTGAAAAAATGAAAATCCAAATGAAAGGCAACCAAAAAATGTCTTTTCCTTTTAGTTGATCTCTCACTTGAAATGTGATACGAAATGCAGTATAAAATAAATTTCATTAACTCTGGAGTTATATTCTCCGGGTATTTGCTGTATATATACTCTATATATCCGATGATTGTGTTATTTTTCATCAATTTTTGTATTTTGTTGAACAAAATTGTTTATTAAAAAAATAGATAATAAGTTTATTGATAATTACAAATGTTTACACAAATGTTTTGCTTTAGATGTGTTGAGATTCACTCGTAAGTCAATGAGAGATGAGATAAACATATAATGATTTTTAATTTCAAACACAACTACATTATTATAAGGCAACTCTTTCTTGATGTTACACAGGATTCGTATAATTTTTTTCTCAGCGTTTAAATTGTCATTCATTATATAAATTGCAGTAATTTTTGCACACAATATAAAAACGATAAAAATTCAAATTATTTCGTACTTACAGTCAATCGTTGCGATATCTCTATCGATATGATTGTGTGTTTTTTGAGAACATTTTCTCTATTGTTTTCTTTATGGGATGTAATAATGAGATGAATTGAGTCGATATTTACGGCCACCGCTCACACCATATATACTATACACACACTGGAAGTCAGTTATCATTAATTTGATATAAGAGTTAATTCCTTGTGAAGTGAAGGACACCACTTAATACTGAATTATATGATAACTGTCTCATAAACGCGAGAGAGAGAGAGAGAGAGAGAGAGAGACTGGGAGGGAGGGAGAGATGAATCACGTCTTATATTTTCATTTGGATAATAAATTGAATTATTAAAGAATATCGTCTTTTAATATGATTTAATATATAAATCGTGAAATGAATTGTATATATAAAGTAAGGGATTATTTACCCGAACAATCAATAAATATATACAGCATTCGCATTATATATGCCGTTATATACATGTATATAAACATAACTAATATTTTAATTTAATGTTTATATAACACACGATTGGTTGACTCTTTGCCCGTTCAAAGTCTCTCGCACTCACTCTCCCCCGTCGTCTCCCTATCACTAACTTTTGGTATTTTTGATTTTTGTACACAAAAATACGAGTAAACTATAATAAAAAAGAGTTACAAAACAAAGAGAATAATGCAAAGCGAGAGACACGAGAGAGTTGTGACAATAATTTTTTGCTCGTTTGAGATAAATACACCTTTTTCTCTATCGCGATCACTCGTCCCGTTATATGTGATCACTGGATGTGGTAAATATACCGGTGCTCTGGTTATAGCCGTGTTATGTAATGTGCTGTGTATTTGTGTGCCATTTTTATATTCAGTATATATATGTTCATATCTCTCAGGCTCTGGAGTTAGTTACGTGTTTCGTATTACCAGTGCCTTATTCTGATGGCACTCCGGCAGCACTACCCGTCCACACCAGCCCTTATATAGTTGTTGGCATCACTCGTAGCTTTAGTTGCCTTACAGTTCCCATTCCTATCCCATTCCCAAATGCTATAACAGAGCACTTGATAGGGAAACAGACAGAGGCACTCATATCATACATATGTATACACACAACTCGCACACACATAAACATTTGTGAACCAAACTATTTGGTTGTTAAGCCTCTTCTTCCCCATTGCCTTAACTTTCCTATTCCTTAATTAATAATTACGTGCCCTCTCTCTCTCTCTCTCTCTCTCTCTCTCTCTCTCTCTCTCTCTATTTTGGATACGAGTCCATGTGTTACTGTTGTTGTCGAGGGGGTCTCTGACTCTCGACTCTCTATGCGCTCTCTCACACCCAATACCAGCACTTATACAGTATTAATATGTGTTTACAAAACTATTCAGTAATGGTTTTATGCACAAAATTGAACCCATATTTTGTCTAATTCTCGATTTCTCCTCCAATTCTGCGATGCATTCCATTGCGGGTTAAGTTCACAAATACGGAAACACACATACAGTGCACCCCATTATGTACTGCACAACAGCACACATGCAATACCATATACTCTGTAACTCTCATGCATTCAATTATGTTATATTATTACAGAATTTGATATAGAATTCGATCGCTTGTGCAGTAACTGAAACCATAATTGACTCAATTTATTGATTCATCAATTCTTGTTTTAACAACTTTTTTATATTATTCCTCGCACTCCCTCTTTCCCCTCTCCCTCTCTCTCTCTCACGCTTTTCACTCTTACACTCATTACATTCTCTCTCCCCATCCCTACCCCTCCCCCTCTACTGCTATTGTTATTTTAGTGGATGTGAAGAATTTGATGTCAAAAAATTGCTTAAAGAATATTCTTCTCCAGAGTCTAATAATACCAGTAATAATGGTGTAGTTTTTTTTCGTATACAATATACTCTATAATGTATATATGATTTTAAATACATTGTTCGCCTGCACTCCTGTTATTGAATGCTATTAATTGTTTTGTGCGATAATTAATTAGGCCATAGAAATGGGCGATTAATTTATACAATAAATCCCTGTCCTCTCAATTCATTTGCCGGTTCGCATCCTCTCACAGAATATTCTGTGTTTAAATGACTCCGAATTGACTCTACAATACATGTTTGCCATCAGATTTGAGTTTCAATTATACACAACAAAAACAATAGCTTCTCTCTCTCTCTCTCTCTCTCTCTCTCTCTCTCTCGCAATGCCATTATAGCCATTAATATCCTTTTATATCCATTTGAATATCATATTATATGCCATAATAATAATGGTAGCGATTTGTGTGTAATATCCAAAATGAGACAATGGTTTATATATTGTATGCATAAAATCTTTGCCATTTTTACTGAATAACTCATTTTTTATGGCTTTGAGACTCATATAACACGTCATAAGATTAAGACTGTTTTTTGTTGTTTTGGTTTTTCATAATAATTATTAAATTAATGAATGACTTTATGAATGAAAGGAGAGAGAGAGAGAGAGAGAGAGAGAGAGAGAGAGAATGCAGACACACAACTATTATTAAGAGCCGACTTATAACATGGAATGCAATGAACAACTTCGCTATAAAATTCAATATAAGAATTGAAAGCAATTTTAATGTTATGTAGTGTTAGTGAAAGCGTAGAGAGAGAGAGAGAGAGAGAGATTACCACATTAAACATTATCATAAATTGTTCAATATATTTGTGTGTTATATATAACAAGAATATAGCGCTGAAAAAGGCTTAATGTTTTCAAAATGAAACACATAATATGTGCACACATTTACACAGAATATTCTGGTGCCAAATGAATATAATTTGCCATAATTTTAGACCCGAAATCTGTTTTGACTCCAAATTATCTTTTCATTTAACTCTCGAAGTATTAAAAAAAATTCAATGCATAGAGAAATAGTGGAGAGAAAAGTATTTTATTCAATAAATTTTGATTAACATTAAGCCCTTTTAATCTGACGCACACACAGACACACAAAGGCTATTAAGTAATAAATGACTTTATTATTATATTTCCTCTTATATATTGTGCGATACAGTGAACTCTCGTTATTGTGAACCAATGTAATGATTGAATGTGTGGCTTTAAAATCGTTCACTTATTTCGTTTGTTGTGTGTGTGTTTATAAACTTCTTATACATAATACAAACTTATCTCTCTTATAATGTACTTATATATGACTATAAATACAAATTTACTTTTAATACATTTGAATCCACTTTACGATTGTTTTACGGTATCGATAGTGTATTCCTCTATATATAAGGAATATAATGCCATGAATTTATGGGTAATTCTCATGGCTTTCCGTTTTGGTTAGGAATTCTGTGTGTCGTCTCTCTCGATGTCTATCCCTCTCTTCCCTACGCTTTCACTAACACTACATAACATTAAAATTGCTTTCAATTCTTATATTGAATTTTATAGCGAAGTTATATTATCTCTATATATGATAAAAATGTCTAACAACTGGTTGTCTCCGTATATTGCATGTGACGATCGATGGATAGCGCGATGCGAATCCTATTATCCAAATTGGCCCGAACTTGGATTGTGGACGAGAAAAAGGACGATGGTTACACCGCACTGCACTTGGCCTCGTTGAACAACCACGTAGAGGTGGCCGAACTGCTCGTACAACAGGGTAAGGCCAATATGGACCTCCAGAACGTGAACCTCCAGACACCGTTGCACTTGGCTGTGGAGCGGCAACACATCCAAATCGTACGACTACTGGTGCGCGAGGCGTGTAATCTCAATATACCCGACAAAGACGGCGATACACCCCTACACGAGGCCCTCAGACACCACACACTCAGCCAATTGAGACAATTGCAAGACATGCAAGACGTCGGCAAACTGTTGATGGGTTTGGGTTCGCACGGCTCCGAGAAGAAGAGCAGCGCATCCATCGCCTGCTTTCTCGTGTCAAACGGCGCCGATTTGAACATCAAAAACAAGAAGAATCAGACACCGCTTGATCTCTGTCCCGATCCTAACCTCTGCAACACATTGAATAAATGCCATAAAGAGAGGCTCTGTGGCGGACAACCGCCCGCCTCTCCCGTCTCTGTCAGCTCACAGACAGAACAGGAAACTCTTGAAGAATGTATGGTCTGTTCCGACAATAAAAGGGACACATTGTTTGGTCCGTGCGGTGAGTATTTTGACATTAAATTTATTTGTTGATTGATTTAATTCTCGATCTAATGCTAAAACTTTATTTTATATTGCATTTAAAGGTCATGTGGCGACGTGTGCTATCTGTGCGCCCCGGTATGTGTTCACTCAGTCTTCATATATAATGTCTATTACTTTCTTCGCCATCTCTTTAGTGATATTTTTCATTTAGATTTGAGTTTTCAGTGAATATTTCTTTTGGGTTTAATTTCTTTATAAAGTCATCCAAACTATCGGCTCAACGGAAGAGCAAAAGAAAAGTCTAATATATATTTCTTATGCAAAGCTAAATATAAACGAGTGCCTCAGTCTTCCCATCCCTTCCTGTGCTCTCTGTTATGCAATACTATATATCAGTTACTCTACAGATGTATAGCACGGCTCTTAAGAAAAATCATTATCATATGTGCTGTTCATTGCATTCCATGTTATAAGTCGGCTCTTAATAATAGTTGTGTGTCTGCATTCTCTCTCTCTCTCTCTCTCTCTCTCTCTCTCTCTCTCACTCTCTCTCTCTCTCTCTCACGCATTTCTCAATCACTCAAATTTTCTTATTCTTTGCTCTCTCTCTTATGCATTCTCTAACTCCTGATCTTCCCTTTGAGTGAATTTTCAAATGTAGTGCTCCTGTAGTCAAAGTAGAGGCCAATCACAGCACCAATAGTTTACTTTCCTTTTTTATGCATTTATTTTTAAATACGTTTACTTCTCTCACACTCTTTAAACTTTTTTCATTCTCTCTGCCCTCCATCTCTCCCTCTTTCTCTCTCTCTCTCTCTCTTACTTTCACACAAATATTGCCTCACTTTTCAAATATAACGCTTAATCAGAAAGTTTTTGTCAAAACCTAACGTATAAAACACTTATTGAAACGAATCAAATAAATGTCTTACAAAAACTTCTTTCAGTAATTTAATCGTTTAGTCCTTTCTCTTCCGTTTGCAGTCTTTCCCACTTTCTATCTTTCTTTTTGCTTTCTTCTCACTTCCAGTCTTTCAGTCTTTAATACTTTTTTGTTATAAAATATCAGTCTTTTGTTTAAAACATTTTTTTGTTTAAGAATTTTATTCAAAATAATATTTGACTAAAACTTTAATTAAATTAGTTTTTATTACATTATGCACTGTTTTTTTGGTGAATACATTGTTTTCGTACGTAATGTAATATCAATCAATATTCTGCTCATAAAACAACAAACCTTTGATTTTGTTTTGGTTAGCGATGATTGTCTGTCGCACTCGCACTACGGCTACACAATTTCTACTCAAACATTGTATGAGATAATGGTTTATCTCTAATCCACTTTGTTTTAACTCTCGCGTCGTTAGCCTCTCTCTCTCTCTCTCTCTCTCTCTCTCTCTCTCTCTCCCATGTGTTTCACATTCTGACCAATACTTAGCTCTTTCTTTTCTATCTCTCGAAGATATCGATCAGTATTTTCTTTGTTTAGTATTTCTCTCTTCACTTTTGCCAATGCATTGTTTGTCCGCCTTTTCTCTCTCACTATTGTTATTCATTTAATGATTTTTTGCTACTTTAATACAAACGGATCTAATGTCTTATCAATCGCTCCCTTATTCTGGTGCCACCAATCGATACAATCGTTTTTATAATACAATTTATTACACATTTGGTCTCTCTATTCATGCCATTCAATACACAATCAATCGCTGTATGCATTGTATTGAAAGCTGTACTTCAATACTGTGTTTAATGACTTATATTTTAACGAACCTTCAATTTAATTATGTTTTAGCAATCAATTTATCATTTCATTATTTTTTCATAAACATTCTCAGCGGTCGAGAGAGAGAGAGAGAGAGAGAGAGAGAGAGAGAGAGCGTAAAATTATCGTTCAAATCGTTTGGGAAATTAACATTTCATAAAAGATTTTAATGGACTTTATTTTATCCAAAATACTAAAACAAACGACGCGAGAGTTAAAACAAAGTGGATTAGAGATAAACCATTATCTCATACAATGTTTGAGTAGAAATTGTGTAGCCGTAGTGCGAGTGCGACAGACAATCATCGCTAACCAAAACAAAATCAAAGATCTGTTGTTTTATGAGCAGAATATTGATTGATATAAGCATTACGTACGAAAACAATGTATTCACAAAAAACAGCGCATAATGTAATAAAAACTAATTTAATTAAAGTTTTAGTCAAATATTATTTTGAATAAAATTCTTAAACAAAAGGATGTTTTAAACAAAAGACTGATATTTTATAACAAAAAAGTATTAAAGACTGGAAGTGAGAAGAAAGCAAAAGAAGGATAGAAAGAGGGAAAGACTGCAAACGGAAGAGAAAGGACTAAGCGATTAAATTACTGAAAGAAGTTTTTGTAAGACATTTATTTGATTCGTTTCAATGAGTGTTTTATACGTTAGGTTTTGACAAAAACTTTCTGATTAAGCGTTATATTTGAAAAGTGAGGCAATATTTGTGTGAAAGTAAGAGAGAGAGAGAGAGAGAGAGAGAGAGAGAGAGAGAGCAAACATTACAATTGGAGATAATTCATGATCGCATCGGAAAATTATATAAACGTTTTTAAAGTAAATTAATTTTTAGTCCCAAAATATCTACACAACTCTTATCTAATAAAAGCCATAAATTATAGTTAAATTGAAACAAATGTTTGCTTTAAAATCTGCGAAACATAGCATTTAGTTAAGTATTTTTTGGCCAAAAAATACACATAAATTGTATAACAAAAATAAATTCAATTTCTGATTTCCAAGTGATAAATGTCGGCTCAAAAGTATATGAAATTAATTTTTCTCATTATTTTAAAAGTTTTTAATATTAAATTCTGGAGTCAAATGAATGCCTACTCTTTTGTATGAGAATGAGAATGAAATACTGAAACTAATATTTTATAGTTAAGAATAATATTATTTTCAATTCATAGCCCAATTGTAAATCATTTTTCATCGAAATCTGGTTCAAGAGTTTCTCTCTTTTTCTTTTGGCTGAAAAACATATATTTCATTGAAAGAGAAACTCTTTATTCTTCAAGACATGGGATGGAGTCGAGTGAGTGAGGAGTAGTTGGAGTCACTCGTATATAAATAAAATGCATTACAATGAGAGGGCGAGAGAGAGAGAGAGAGAGAGAGAGAGAGGGCAGACAGTTTGGCACAAGAATGAGGAGCTGTTATGTATGGATGTGTTTGAGTTGGTGTTGGAGAGGGAGTGAAACGATTACATAAAAAATGTTGAGAGAATATAATATAAATCAAATTTTTTTCTCCTCAGAAATGTGAAGATCTCTTCACTAAAGAAAGTCACGTTCGCTCTGTGTATTCGGCGGAGAGAGAGAGAGAGAGAGAGAGAGCGTAAAATTATCGTTCAAATCGTTTGGGAAATTAACATTTCATAAAAGATTTTAATGGACTTTATTTTATCCAAAATACTAAAACACAAAAGAATTTAATATAAAAATTTCCGTGTATTTTATAGTTGACTAAACTTACAATCAATGAATAAATTTATCTCAAAATAGAGAGCAAACATATTGTAATGCGAGAGAGAGAGAGAGAGAGAGAGAGAGCAAACATTACAATTGGAGATAATTCATGATCGCATCGGAAAATTATATAA